AACGGCATATCCTCTGGAGACCCTGCAGACCCTGGTAACCGCGTGATGGTTCTTGCCGCGACGAATTTACCCTGGGAATTGGATGAAGCTATGCGTCGCCGACTTACCAAGCGCGTCTGTACGTCAATCATATTGGTGGCTGTTGTCTCTAGAAATTGAACTAATCTCTACATGAATAACGAGACAGATATCCCGCTACCAGAATCTGAAGGACGCTTACAGCTATTCAAGCTCAATCTGGAGAAGGTGGATGTGGCATCTGACGTCAACTTTGACAAGCTTGTTGCAGCGACAGAGGTGAGGAAAAATCACCGATCAACTTGCAGTGTGGTGTGAGATGTCTGACCTAGCTTGCGTTGAACAGGGCTATAGCGGTGATGATATCTGCGGGCTTTGTGACACAGCCAAGATGATGCCAGTGAAGCGTTTATATACTCCTGAAGTTCTGAAGGAGTTGCAACGCAAGCAACGTGAGGGTGCGTCTGATGAAGAGCTTCAAGCACACGAGAAGAATGCGCTGGAGGTCACATGGTCGGACTTCCAAACAGCACTTGAAAACGTATCAAAGTCTGTCGGCAAGGAGCAGTTGGAGCGCTTCGTCAAGTGGGAAGAGGAGTTCGGGTCCAAGTGAAGAGATGACTATGTTTGCATTAACTGGGCACAATCCGATACAGCACAAATTTACGTACGTATCTTCTCCTTTTGTGCGTTTGATCGTTGTTTGATCTACAACTTGCGCTTCAGCAAACCCGTCAAGAAGTCGAACGAATTGCCGTCAGGGTAGAGCTCGAGGCGAGAGCCGTCATCACCCTGTGCTAAGAGGCATCCAGTGCTGGTAAGCCCCTTGATCACAGCAGGCACCTTCTTTCCACCTGCGTCATCGCCGCTCGCGACTTGCACTACTTGGTCCGTGTGCAACCACCGCGCGAGATAGTCTGTCATGAAGGGCTCAAAGCCCTGCTCGAGGAATAGCTTCTCCATGGGCTCGTACACGTTGCAGAAAGCCGCCAAAAACTCCTCCCTGTAATGCGACCGACTCGTCAGCAAGTATCACCAACATAGTACGTTAAAGATACTCACTTTGTCACGGTGCATGGTTGTTCCTCCGTGCCCAAGATGTCCTGGAGACAGATCGTTGGTGTCCGGTTCGAAATATTGATACCAACGCCTGTAAATACGAGTCAGTAGAAATCTTAGGGTCTTTAGATAGCCAACGTATCACGTACCTGTGGTGACACTGAATTTGCCGTCGCGGTATTCGGACTGGCAGAGAATTCCACCGATCTTGACCTGGTTGGCATAAATGTCATTGGGCCATTTGATCTTCACAGGGCCAGCACTACCGGGAACTGCGGCGTGCACTGCCTCCACAGCCTTAATGATGGCCAGCGAGACGAGGTACTGCACGAAGGGTAGCGTGGTGCCGTCCGTGAAGACGCTTTGGAAGGAGAAGGTAAGGCATCCCTCGGGTGACGACCACGTGTTGGTGCCGCGGCCCTTTCCGCTCGATTGTAGCTCCGTGTAGCACAAAACACCTGCAGGTGCAGCGGGCTTGATCGTCTCGCGCAGCAGCGTCTGGGTCGAGCCCAGCGAGGGGCTGTATAGCACGACGCCACCCAGCTCCTGCGTCTTGAGAAGTGGAAACAGCTTGCTCTGGACCGGATCTGTGCCACCAGAAGCCACAGAGGCGGGGTACGAGGGCATTGAGGCCTCAAGCCACGCCTGTAGTGCCTGTAGGTGGCGCTCCGAGCGCGCGTAGTAGCGTAGTTCTTCCGTCATTTGCCTTCTGAGCATGTGCGGATATGATCACAGATAACTTAATTTTGAGTGTCACAAAACGGAGCAAAAATGGAATTTGTGAACAGTGGTCTCTTTATTAGACCACATTCTGTTGCTGTCTACGGGTGACGGCGCTATCTCTTCTAAAAGCAGGATGGTGCGTGCTTCAGCTTACTCGAAGCGCATGAAAGACGTCGAGGCCGGATCCAGATACTTGATGTCCAAATTGTAGCTCGGGCCCATCGAGGAGCTCAAGTGAGCAGCCTACAACAAACAGAGTCTGAGTATGACGCTGACTTCAATAATACTGGAGTTAAGCCGACAACTTACCTTAATGTACTTGCCCTTTGCACCTTCCGGCTTGGCGTCGCTGAGTGCGACCATGAAGGCTCGCACGTTCTCAAGCAGCGCCTCCTCCGAGAAGCTCATCTTGCCTACACCAGCGTGGATGATACCCTTCTTCTCAGCGCGGAACTCCACCTGACCGCCACGTGCCGCCGCAATAGCATCACCGACCTCCTGTGTCACCGTGCCCAGCTTTGGGTTGGGCATCAGACCGCGAGGGCCAAGAATTCGAGCCACACGACCCACAAGCGGCATCACATCGGGCGTAGCAATGCAGCGGTCGAACTCCAGCTTGCCGCTCTGCACCTGCTCCACGAGATCCTCGGCACCCACAATAGTAGCGCCGGCAGCCTTGGCTTCCTCAGCCTTGGGTCCGCGGGCGAACACGGCAATGCGAACTTGTTTGCCAGTGCCGTTCGGCAGACTCACCACGCCGCGCACGCTCTGGTTGGGCTTGCGCGGATCCACGCCCAGCTGGACTGCTAAGTCAATGGTCTACAATAGCAATCACCACGCAATGTTAAGTCGTCCAATCACCAACGAAACTCAATGAAGCACAATTACTCGATTCTGACACCCACCTCATCGAATTTGCGCGCGTTCTGGGCCTTGCATTTGCTTAGAGCGGTCTGAATATCGATAGGAGGCTACAGATGCCATAAATAAGTAATAATCGTTATTATAATCTCAAATAGTAGATAATTAAATGACACGCACGCACCTCTGGCACATTGGAGCGACGAGGCACGAGGCCCAGCGCAGTAGGTGAGCGCGTGGGCTTGGAGCTAGGCGTCTCGAGTGTCGAAGACGCGCGCACCCAGCACGAGGTGGTACGTGCAACGTGGGTCTTGATGGCGCTCGAGGCGGAGAGCACGCGCATGGTCATGGTCCGGAGGCTTGAGCGAGCGGCTAGCGATTGATGGTGCGGCGACAGAGTGCGAATGTTGCACGAATCGTTGAACACTAAAGATACACCATTTATGTGACTTGAATGTAACACTTCGGCAATTTGCAACGTGTTTTTTGCTTCACTTTCGAATTTGGGCTGATAATGAAG